AACTGAGTATTGTTGAGCACGAGCACGTGAGACGTTCGTTGAGAATTATAGCGTTTGTTATAGAGCGACTGTTGAAATTACGTGTATCGTAAAGTTGTATTTGGAAAGAATAAACCAGTTTTATTTAAGAAAGGACTTGTGTAGCTAAAGTTTCGTCGGAACGAATTTACGGAAAATTAACTAACGAACGGACACATAACAATATGATTAAACAACAGTAAAAAATATTATAATTTAAAACAAGGAGCTTAAATATATTGAACATTTTTATTTAGATTAAACAAATTGAGATTAGCCACTGTTTCTGTTATCCGCGATTTTTTGCTTTCCCCGTACAAGCGCGGATAATCGAGGCACCAGTGTATATTTATTTACTTTCACAGCAATGAATGCATGCTAACGATCACATGGTATCAACAACCACTTGATAGTTTTGCATGAGCTAACTGCCCATGGTCCCTTATGAGTCTAAACACACGCACTAAGTGGTCGAACCGTGAGAAAGAAGAAAAAAAATGACGCGAAAAAAGTAACGTGCTGTGCAATCGCAACCCTTCATTCCTGAAAAAAAAACACGAAAACGTGCTGAATCCGCCATTAAAATCCTAGAAAAAAGTTAGATTTAGGACTCAAAGAATGCGTAAACAATTCCAGACTTCCAAGAGTCCAGAAATGTTCTAGATGCTATTTATATTTAGCATAGCACTATGCACGAATAAAATGAGAGAAAATACTAGGCACCACAATGAAATTTTTAGTCGCCACAGCGGCTTGGTGCTCGGGATTTGTCAAGACCTGCTATAAGAGGGACATAAAAATCACATTTTTCAGTCTGACAAGAGCAGCCTTATAGCTGGTTATGGTCGCTGCTGACTAGTTGTGTTCTATCTACTTTTATTGTGCTATTTCAAGGTGAAACCGATTTCTCGACGAGTATCTCATAGGCAAACTCGTAAATAACAGCAGATTCGATCAAGAAATAAGAAAATGTTCTGTAATAGATGCCTTTACTATGTTTCATCAAGTGTAAAATAACGAGTCTGGAAAAATGTGAATAAATCTTTATTATTATAAACAAAATCTTTATTATCATAAATAAATGGAAAACAGCGTGCATACCTATGCAGACGAAATGATAGTCTTTTTCTTCTATGCCTTGTTTAGCTCCACAACTTTTTCTCCTTCAGGATAAATTTCCATAGAACTAAGACACGTTGATCTTGAGAGAAGTCTTCACTTGATGATCTCCTAGTAGAAACTGGCTAAAGAAGAATCGCCTATATTCAACAGGTAAACTCACTTTTTTTGTCCAGTCGACAGTTCACTTCGTGACCTTTGTTCCCTCAAAGCATTGGCCAGTTGGGCGTAGAAGTGCTATCCAGGGTTATCCTTTGTAGAGGAGATTCAACAATTTTCTGTTGGAGGTTAAACTGTCTTGGTAAGATTTTCCTCTAGGTGGCACACACTGTATAGTACTCACACCAGTGCTGAGGATTTCGACTCACTCGAAGCCAGAAAAACTGCTGCTAAATGTTAGCACAAGTGCAGATTACACCTTGGTGCCCTCCAGTCTTTGTATTGTGCAAAGTCTGGAGTATTTATTGCTACAGGGTTTTGGGAACCTCTAGCTCCAGCACCGTAAGAGGGCTATGCCTAGTGGGCTGGTAAAAACAGTAAAGCACACCTTCTTATGCTTGTAACTGTTTGTACAGATGCCACAGATTATGTGCGTTTATGCTTCACTCCTTTACTAATGTTGATTGGGCTTGGCCTTGCTAAACAACAAGAAACACACACTCTATGTTAGGATCCTTCAATTGCTCATCCCAGAGCTCCAGAAGTATGAACTTTGGCATCCATCCTTTGGTGGAATCATCTACTTCATGATTGGCTTTTGGTATGGCAAAGATGTCCTATTTTTGAAACATTGGTATCCAATGTGCTATCGTTTCTTCCATTTTTTTACAGTTTACTAACAATTTTATGAAAGCATGCTTCACCTGGATGATGAACTTCCTATCATACAACTAGTGACAATAGGTTTTTACGTAGTCAACCACAACAAGCAGCTTTTGCTTCTTAAAAAAGTATATGCATTCAGGAGCCATGAGTGAACAACTAATGTGCGCAATTATACATTCCACTATATTCTGCTAGTGTAACTGCTCTGACTCCATTGTCACTGGTGTTAGTGTCAGGATGAAACTCACAGTCTTGATGAGTATAGACAACACTAAATTATCCACTATAACAAGATTTATGGATTGGAATGCCTGATCATATTTTTTGCTCCATCCAAAGTGCACTTCAATTATCGTAAGAGCCAACAATGTTACTACTATCTTCAGGAAGTTAGCCATAAATGGTCAGTAGCAAGAAGCGAAACCAAGGAAACTGCTGACTTTTCACTCCATCATGAGGAAAGGGAAATCTATTATTGTAGTTATTTTAGCTGGGTCTATTGATACTCCATGTCTTCCCACAATGTGACTAAGAAACTTCACTTCCATTCACATGAGAGAACATTTCTCTGATTTTAGTTTCAAACCTGCTTTCATATGCGCTAAAATGCCATCTAAGCTTTTCGGACGTGGACTCCAAAGTGCAGGCAAACATCAAAACATTCAAGACTAGGGACCTCTCCTATTGCAGTTCTTTGAGTATAAGGTCCATCAATTGTTCAGATTTAGTTGGTACATTATGCAGACCTTATGGCATGGTGCAGAATTCATGGAGACAATCTCTTGTACTAAAATATGTCTTAAACTTCTTTCATTGTACAGCTCAAACTGCCAGTAACTGGACGCCAGATCCAAAGTGTTAAACAAACAAACAGAATCTTCTAATGCATCTAGATATTCATCTGTCCACTGTAAAAAGAAAGAATCTGTGCAAGTTATCGCGTTAACCCGTTAGAAGTTCAAAGCGAACCTTGGCATATTCCCTCTCCCTGACAATCACAACTGGAGAAGACCAAGCACTTTCTGAACGCTGCATGACTCTGTACTATAGCTTCTGCTGTTTCTTTGTACTTATGACCTTCCTAGTACTCCAAGGAAGTTGGTGCAGCAGCTGCTTTATTGGATGTGCATAACCTGAGTCTATATGGTATTGAGTCACTCTCATTAGACCCGTTTGGCCATCTGGAGCCACAAAAACATTGGTATGTTTACCTAACACGTCACTAAATTGCTTGTGTTGCATTGGATCC